ACACACACACACACACACACACACACACACACACACACACACACACATACATATATGTACACAATGTTCTGCCTACACGTATGCCTACATGCCGGAAGAGGGCACCAGATCTCACTTTAGATGGTTGTGAGGGAATTGAACTCAGGACTTTTGGAAGGGCAGCCAGTGCCCTTAACCTCTGAGACATCTCTCCAGCCTTCAATTTACTTTCTTATATCGTCTAGGACCACCTGATAAGAAGGTGGTATTAACAGTGGGCTAGGCTCTCTTACCTCAATGATTAATTAAAACGATAACCCACAGACCTGCCTACAGGGAAATCTGAAGGAGGAGTCAATTAAGATTTCCTCTTCCCAGATTATGCCAGGTTTACGGCATGTTGACAAAAAGCAACCAGCATACTAGGATTCAAGTCAGTGGCTACTTGTGCTTAAATTAGTTGAGCAGTCCTCTCTGGAGGGTGGGTATGAGTAAGAGGCCTTCCCCTTAGGAATTACTACTTGCTTTCAAATGTCAGAGCTGTAAAAACAAGGTGACTATCACGACGCAGACTGAAAGCTGTCTGGATGCAGTGTCCTAAGTATATAATTAATTAAACACATATTGTTTTCCTTGTTTGAGGTTTCCTTAGTGAAATGCAAGGGGCAGAGGTTAGGCAGTAACAAGAGCAATGTCTGCCCAGAAGCAGCCTCTGGTGTTTAATTTCACTCTAAATTTCCATGAAGAGGAATCAGATGTCTGAAGAAGTACCATTTCTTTGTATAGCTGAACTGGTGCGGTGGTATTCACAATATACAGATTCCATCCGGCTTCAGCCGCGTGAGGGGCTTTGTTCCTAACACTGGCATCTCTCCTAGAACTGAAAAGGGTCAGAATTATAAGACATGTTGTTAATAAATTACAGTATTCACCTGTAAATATTGGATACTATAAAATAATACAAGTCTGACATCACTCCCACTTAATATTTCCTTGGTAATTAGTGTGTATTTCCATAGTTCACAGAACTTCACAGATATATGGCATAAACTGATAAGCCAATTTGCCTACAGTTCTCCAATATTAAGCTCCCCAAATAGGCATGCAGACCTATCACTTTTGAAAATCCTTATGTTCAGGCTTTCATGAGCCCAGCTTGTCATGGGCCACAAAATCCTAACAGAAACAACATTCACATCACTTAAAAATGTTGAAGACACATAAACCTGTGAGTTGGCTTAAAATCCTTTACTGTGATGTTATTTTCTTTAGTATAAAATGGATTATTCTATAATCTAACAAATATATTAATAAACTCTTTCACAGTATAAAAATGACCATTGGATAAAAAAGTGTAAGTGCTTTAAAGACCAAAGAAGAAAAGCAATAAAAAGCTTTGTGGCCAGGATTAACATTACAGGTTCTGTCTTTCTCCATCATTCCATAGGGAAAGCATCTCTTTTAGATTCTTATCCATAGTACAGGTAATAGCTACTGAAACTACTGAAAGTTCCATGATAAATTATAAACAATATTATAGCAATCTTTACACCTTCTTTATTTTCTCTGGAAAAGCCATCTATCTGATAAGTCTGTGATTCAATTTAAAAAAATAAATCTAAAGACACACATAAAATATACCAGTTCCACTTCATCCCAAAAACTACAAGAAATGTGTATAGCTAGAAAAATGCTTACAGAAGCCTCTTGGGTGACTCTCTTCTCTCTGGAATGGCCTCAGAGTCTGCCTTGGTCAGAAGTATGATGTGGTTGTTAAAATGGCAGATGGCTTTCAAGCCTATGAAAAGTTGTATCCTTAGAGCACACACATCCATACTGACAGGTGGGCAAGCCTAATAAAGGATATATTACAAATTTAACCAAGGAATAAAGGTATGTGAACCTCATCGTCAAAAGAGGGCTGGGGATGGAGTTTAGTTGAAGCCTTGAGTTCAATTCCCAGCAAAGCATACCAGGGGTACTGGCTCACATCTATATATCACACATTCAAGAGGTGGAGACAGGATGACCAGAAGCCCAAGGTCGGAGCCAGGTACAACATGAGTTAGAGGCCAACCTGAGATACATGAGACCCTGTCCTTAAAAAAGAACCAACAAGGCTGGACGGTGGTGGCACAGGTCTTTAATCCCAGCATTTGGGAGGCAGAGACAGGCAGATCTCTGTGAGTTCAAGGCTAGCCTGGTCTATAGAGTAAGTTCCAGGACAGCCAAGGCTACATAGATAAACTCTATCTCAAAGAGAAGAAAACAAAACAAACCCAAACCTAGTATGTTCATTTGATAAAAGCCCTCTACCCAGTTCCTGTTTTTCAGAATATTAACACAGGCATGTCGGTAACCATCTACTTTATAGCCCTTTTCTGTACTGCTGCCTATAAATACACAGACCCTGAAGGCCTTGCTGGAAAAGAAGCCCCGGATGCTACAAAAGGCCACACTGTAGCACGCAGAGCTTTCTTTGCATATGAGTGTGTGAAAGAAATGCCAGTGCGTTTGGCTGTCCCTAACCGTTAACCCGTTTGTTATAACAAAGCCCGGCATATCCAGCAGCCTAGGGCATGTGTCTCTATAGGGTACTACCACTCTCCAGATTCCTGGTAATAGTACTGTGGTAATAGTACCCAAGCTGGGTGGTGGTGGTGCATGCCTTTCATTCCAGCACTCACTGGGAGGTAGAGGCAGGCAGATCTCTGAGTTCAAGGCCAGCCTGGTCTAAACAGCAGTTCCAGGATAGTCAGGGCTACCCAGAGACACCCTGCCTCAAAAAATCAAAAACAAAAAACCCCAAACAAACAATGAAACAGTATCTCAGGCTCACTAGCAGGACAAAACGGCTATTTATGAACTAACCCTATCTGTTAATAATCATTAACAGAGAGCACCCCGCCTACCCACCCCAAAAAGGGCAGTAAAGGTTGAAGGTAAACTGTAAAAAACAGGAGAGTATAATCTGGAGACTGCTTGCAACATGCACACTTGTTACCAATATTCTTTCAATTAACTTATACCTTAAAAGTGAAACAGCCAAGACAATGTTACAAATCATGACTACATTTCTGAGAAAAGAAATTTCAAGGTTAGAGATCATCAAAAACTTGCCAGTCTTTGCTTTTACTTGTAATCAAAGTTCTTCTGATATTAAGGGTATTCTCAAAACAAAATGATATTATTAATCTAGTATATCTAGTGACTTTGAAGCATAGAGAATTGTCAAAGGTTTGGAAAATAAAGAATTGTATTCTGATGATAGTAAAAAGACAAAACACAACAAAAAACCAAAAACCATTTCCTTGCATCACATTCAATTGCACAATTCTGATTATACTGTTTTAATAGTTCTGTACAATTGCTAGCAATATGTCCTTTTAAAAGCAAGACAATAAAACCTGTGAAGACTGACAAAGGATGACTGAACCAAGTTGGAGGCCAGCCAGGGCTATACAGCAAATTCTAGGTCAGTCTGGGCTGCTGCATGAAAAAAAAAAAATTAAAAATAAAACAAAACATCACATTATGAACTTCCCTCTAGAGAGTGGTACTCAACCTTCAGTTTCTCATGTTGTGTTGTCCCCAAACCATAAAATCATTTTCCTTGCTACTTCATAACTGTAATGTTGCTACTGTTATAAATCATAATGTACATGTTTTGGAGACAGAAACTGGCCAAAGTGGTTGAGACCCAGAGGTTGAGAAATGCTGCCCTAAAGGTACACTATACCTATTACTCAAAACACTTTAAAACACTTTGAAACGATCTTAAAAATTGCCAAACCACACATCAGAAACGCTTATAGTTTCTACCCAGAACTTCTAATTTAATGAATGTATTAATTAGCATTACTATTGCTATGATGAAACATCAAGACCAAAAAAGCAAGATGGGGAGGAAAGGGTTTATTCGGCTTACAATTCCAAATCAGAGTCCATCAAGGAAGGAAGTCAGGACAGGAAGTCTAACAGGGTGGAGCCTGGAGGCAGGAGCTGATGCAAGGGCATGGGGGCATGCTGCTTACTGGCTTGCTCCTCATGGCTCCCTCAGCCTGCTTTCTTACAGAACCCAGAACCACCAGCCCAGGGATGGCACCACCCACAATGGGCTGGGCCCTCCCCCATCAATCAGTGATTAAGATTATGCTCTTCTGATTGCCTACAACCTGACCTTAGGAAGGCATTTTCTCAATCGGTGTTCCCTCCTCTCAGAGGACTCTAGCCTGTGTCAAGTTGACATAAAATTAGCAAGCACAATGAATACAACCTTTTTGGGCTTGTAGTCTTTGCCAAGCTTAGGGCTAAGAACAAGTGTACAAGTGTTCATGTGCTCCCTTGAGCTCCCGGTTTTACTGTTAGAAGCCAGCTCTAACCTTCAGTGTAGTGTCCGTGAACAGGTCCTCCCGAGCCACCGCTGCACTGCATCGTACTGTGAAGCACTGCAGGCTTTGGCTAAGGAAGAAGACATCGGTCAGTAAGCAAAGCGGGACCGCACCTTTAATCCCAGCACTTGGGAGGCAGAGGCAGGCAGATTTCTATAAATTTTGGGCAGCCTGGTCTATAGAGTGAGTTCCAGGACAACAATGCTACACAGAGAGACCCTGCCTTGAAGAATAAATAAATAAAGAGATACATGGGTTTAATTTGGCTTATGGTTGCAGAGGACTGGAATTCATGATGGCAGAGAGAAGGAACACCTGGGACTTCACATCTTAACCACAACCATGAGAAAGAGAACACTGGGGATCGCCAAGGTCTTTTGAAACTTCAGAGCATTACTGTCCATCCTCTGAGATGGGGGCCCAGAGAAAATAAAGGGAAAAGTGAGAAAGGCAGCTGAGTACCAGCCATTTTTTTTCTGATTCCTATCAGCTTTGATACACAAGCTTCTTCTTTGCTGCACATTCCTCACCAGCATTCACTGACATCTTTAAAACCATGAGCCTAATCAATCCTTCCTCTTCAAGGTATTTCTGTTGGGCATTTTGTCACAGTGATGACATGAGAAGTAACACAGGGTACACATTTAGTAGGAACACTCACTAATTTCTCACTGTACTATCCATGTATATAATCAGGTGAAAAAAAATGAAGTCTTTTTGCACGCGGGGACGAAAATGGGTATTTCTATTCCTCCCTTCTCTCTTCACGTCCTTAGTTTCTAAGAGACAATATATTCTTAAAGAGCTTTTTCTTGGGACTGGAAAGATGGCTTAGTGGTTAAAAACAGTTGCTGCTCTTCTAGAGGACCTGGGTTTGGTTCCCAGCACCCACCCAGTGGCTCACAACCATCCATAATCTCAGTTCCATCTGACACACTCTTTAGGCAGCTGCCACGGACATGTTCATTCATTCAGATGTTGCACATACATGCAAGCAAAACACTCAAAATTAAAAAAAAAAACAAACAAACAACTTTGTCTTCCTTTTTTTTGCTTTTTAAACATAATCTTCATTAGAGTTGAGGTCTCCAGTGACTTTTCTTGACTACTTTGTGAATCACCTTTTGCTTTCAAATACCTGAGCTTTCTTCTCTATCCTGACCTACAGTCTCCCTTAACATGCTCTCTTGATAGTCTATAAGCACTTCAAACTCCAGGGTCTAAACCAGATTGCTCTTGAGCCCCACATTATACTAGCTAGCATTATTTCATACAATCAGACTTAAGCCAGGCACAGTGGCACAAAGTGGTAATTCCAGCGTTCAGAAGCCAGAGGCAGGAAGATTGTTATAACTTTAGAGTCAGCCTGGGCTACCCAGTGAGTACCAAGCCAATCAGGACTACATAGCAAACCCTATGTTAACAAACAACAAACATACAAATAAAATTAGGCTCAAAACCTCAGTGTTTTTTTCCCTCCGTTTCTCAGTTATCCTCTCAGATACCAAAAAGCTCTGATGAAACTGTTCCTAACCATCCTTTTTTTCCTCTCCTTGCCACTTGCCTACATACAGTCCCTTAATACCCTTTCATGAACCACTCCCACAGCCTTTTATAGATGATGAACTCACGCTCCATCATGTCTGCTATCAGTGTTCCAGAAGAAAAAGAAAAGTTCTTCCTCAGCTTGACTTTCAAAACCTGCCGCTAGCGCTCTAGCATGAGTCTCATCGCGTGTTTATTTTTAGCTTCCTCATATTCGAAGACTATCTCTACACACAATTTGAAGAGCGGGAAGATAAGCTATCAGGAAACAGTCCTGTCATTGCCCTTGAGGACCCAGCATAATGGAGCCTAAAGTCTCCTGCAATAACCAATTTTATTTAGAGCATCAGACAATCTGTATTCTGAAAGTTAAGCAAGTGTCCTATTAGTTCGGGCTGTAAACATTTTGAATAATAATGGCAAGATACTGGGTAATCTGAAGTAACCCACCCCTACTTACTACACCAGAGGGGGGCATGAGAGCACATACCAAGAACAAACCTATATTTAGAAGAAACTAAGGTCATAAGACTTATCTTGTGTTCTCAGAGTTTTCTCATAAGCACCCAGAATTCTCTTCAGACAGCTCCATTCTTGGACTGTGTTCTGACACACTCCCACTGTTAGCATTTTTTCTTATATTAAAACACATTCGGAGAAGGGAGAAGCCAGGAAAAAGTGGGTACCAGAATCTCAAAATAGTCTCTGTGCTGCTTAAAATACACTTTTAGCACCCACTAAAAATTCTATTACAACCACTAAATTAAAACAAAACAATCACAGTTCTTTGCAACTAACTATTGGATATTTCTGAAAACCTAGATTACAGCCTTTATCAGATTTCCTCTACCAATAATGCCTCTCTTCTTTCCATCCATCAAAATTCCATCTTCTAGGCCTAGCTTCAGACTTCACTGACCTATCTGAACTGTTCCCACATGACCTGGCCAGAAGTAATTTTCCTCTTCCCAGGACACTTTGTACATCATGAAATCTTAACGCACTTCCCCAAATCTGCTGGTATTTGTGTCTTTTTAAATGTGTATCTGGCCTTCTCTTACACTGCTACTTTAGGAAGTTCCTGGTCAGAGGGTTCAGGGGCAGTCACTCAAATAATAACTCAAAAAACAAGAAACAAAATTAAAATTAACACTACCACGAAGATAAAAATAAATTGATATCAAATTCCTGTTTAAGAAATCAGTTTATGAGCCAGGAATGGTGGCACATGCTCATAATCCCAGCACGTGAGGAGGCAGAGGCAGGCAGATCTCTATGAGTTCAAGGCCAGCCTGGTCTACAAAACGAGTCCAGGACAGTCAAGGCTACATGAGAAACCCTCTAGAAAGAAAGAAAGAATGAAAGAAAGGAAGGAAGGAAGGAAGGAAGGAAGGAAGGAAGGAAGGAAGGAAGGAAGGAAGGAAGGAAGATAGATCTGTTTATATTCCAGCATGCCAGGCCAGGACCACCCTGAAAATAATGACTGCTTCTCCAGGTTTACTAATTGAGGAACAGAATTTGATCATTTCTGGCTGGTCTGAGTTCTAAACCATTATGAAATAACTCAGTTCACACTGAGAGAAGATGACAGTTATAAGAGAAGGCACAGAAAGTGAATCTAAAGAGATGTTCAGCCATCTCCCACTCTTCATAATTCTTGGAAAGGCTTCATTAGGAGCTTTAGAGTTTACAAGGCCACCCATATAATCTAACAGAACACTGCATGGCAAAGCCAGAGCCTGAATCTTCAACACTGGAAAGACAGCTATAACTCACTAATTTTCAAAGCTCCTTGACATAAAATTCTCAAGATTTCAGCACCAGCTTGAGAACTTAGAGAAAAAAGCAAGTAAGTCAAACATCAACGAGAGACACCGGGGCCAAACCTTGTGATGACATGCAAAAACTGTGGTGTGAGCACCGCTTGCTGAGACTTCTCAGGATACCAGTAGACTGACATTAACTCAACAGATTTCACAATCATGTACAGATAGCCCGCGTGAGGTAACGAGAAGAAGCAGAAGAGGCTTAGCAGCTCTTTTTCCTGAGACACACTGTTCCCATCAGGATGAAAACCTGCATTGGAAAAATGCAAGAAAGACACACCATGAAGCCAGTAAATAAAGGGAGAGAATCAATATGCAGACTGTCTCAGAGAATAACCATAGGGTATGAAGGGGAAGTAGACAGTAAGAAATGTGAAGGGGAGGGGGTTATTAGGAAAGCACCATTTTCAGTAGGTAAAAAATGAACTAAGTCAGACTCATCAATGTTATTAACACTGCAGTATCTGCCAGGAACCACAGGCTTTCCAAGAGAGGGCAAAACCACTTGCACAACAAATAACAATACTCCAATCAAGCCTCAGTCTCCATCAACACAGTCAATAAAAATATAATTGCTCTACAACTGGAACTTAAAGTTCTCTAGTATTTCCAAAAAGTAAAAAGAAATGGGATGTTTTTTAAACAATCACTGGGCAACCGCCCAGTAATCCAGCATATCTAAAACACTGCCATTTCAACAAACAATAAACAAAAAACTAGTATTTTGTATATTAGTACTAAACACTCAAAATCTAGTGTGTGGCTTTTATCAGTTTCTATTAGTTATATTTCAAATGTTTAAAGACCACTTGTGGTAATAATGTACCGAAAAGCTGAGAGCGAACAACTAACTTGCACGGAAATATAGTGGGTACAACAGGAACCCAATAAATGATACTGTGAGGACTCAGCAAAATGCAGATAACAGAAAACTTTACAGTAAATGTCCAATTTCTTGGTACAAGAGAGAGAGAGAGAGAGAACCCATACATAATATAGAAATCAACTGAGATTCATAAATGTAAATTTGTTTAAGTAACTCTTTCAAACAAATGAAAAAAAAAATATCAGAGTATCAGAAAAATGTATACCCTGAAAAGATACCTGATGACACCATAACGTTTTTACACGAGAAAGTGTTCAGAATTCATTAAAAAACAATGACCAGGAATGCAGCAGGATGCTGCCATGTGGAAGCTGTGCATGGGGACTGTGTGTTGGGAGGGGAGGGAGGGGGCTTGTACCATTTTCTCTGTATCTAAATGAGCTTGAAGTTTTTTCTTAACCAAAGATCTTCCTCCTCCTTCTATGATACCCATTGATACTAAAAGTCCAATTCTAAAAGCCCAAAGCCAGCTCCATTGGTTTTCTTCTTTCTAGTACATATCTGAGCTCTAGCTAAACAGAACTAGTCACTAATCTCTAAGCAGATGATAACGTCATAGCTTACGTGTCTCAGTTCCTCTTAGGAAATGCCTTGCCAAATCCTTCATCTTCTAAGACATCTACACACCCCACCTGGGACTCAGCTCAAATATTAACCACACATTTACGATCATTTGTCCATTCCATAAATACTCCCAAGGCGCCTGCTGTATGCAGTGCTGCTGTTTGAGGCTCTAGAGGGATGGCAATCCACAAAACAAGGTGAATTCTTTCCCAGAGCCCTCACATTCTAGTGATGGGGATTAAGACGGGAAATAAACTCTAGAGTGGAAAAAACAGACGTGCTACGGAGAGAGCCTGGGGCCCAGCAGTTCAGAGCTCTTGATGTTCTGGCAGAGGGCCTGAGTTAGGCTCCCAGCAACCAAGCCGGGTAGCTCCCAGCAACCAAGCCGGGTAGCTCACAAAATCTGTGAGCTTCTTTGGTCTCTGCCAGTACTACACTCACATGCACAAACTCACCCCCCCCCCAACATAATTAAAAATAAGGGAGTCCCGCTGAGAGAACCAGGTTAGTCCTCTGTGGTGGGATAACAGTTGAGCTGTGCAGTAAACGATCCGACTATGCCACTCATGCAGCACCTGAAGGACACATTCTAGGCCTGGATAGAAGAAAGAATAGGTTTTACAGAAAAGGAGAGTTGAGATGTCTGAGGAAGACAGAAGGGTACTGTGGACAGAGAACAGTAAGCAGGTCAGGCTGAGAAAAAATGAGCCCACCACATAGGCCATGGACTATTTGGGGCTTTTAATTCCAACCGTTATGGGTAGTTCACTGAATGGAAGAGCTGACCCACTGCCTGGCTCCTAGCCCTGTGTCCACCCTTGTATCACATCCCCCTTTCCTTTACTCTACCCTCTCTGGTCTTAGCTCTTTCACTTCCTCCAATACAGTTTCTCTGCTCATGAAAAAAACTTGGCAGGTTCCTCTATTTGGAACACTCTCTCCCCCTCCCACTGCTGAAGCTATCTTAATCCCAGAGTCAGCACAATTCAGTCTACAGATCCATTCTCAGCAAGCAGCCCTCCAGAGGAAGTCAGCAGGTCTTTTGTTACAGTCTGGTAACCTGGCACTCTTTCCCCATACAGTACTATTTCAGTGTCATTTTGTAAGTATCTGATGAGCAACTGCTTTCACCATTAGAAAATTAACTTCATAAGTGAAAGCATGTTGCCTACTTTTGCTCAGTACTCAGCACAATGGTCAACAATAGTGGCAACTCAATAAATGTTTACTTAAAAATATAAAGATACCGGATTACAGCAATATTTAGATCTTCCCAGAAACCATCTGAAAATGCTCAACAGGCCATGAGCAAGTGCAGAACCTACTGGTGGATCTCAGTCTTGCTTCTCATTAGATTTCTGGCGAGCAATGAAAACATGCTGGTGCCAGAGTTCAAGAGTCAAATTAAGTCAGAATCAGAATCATCAGCATTTTTTAAAAAAAGACAGGGTCTCAAGGAGCCCATGCTAATCTAGAATTCACTATGTGGTCAGAGCATGACCTTGAACTTCTGATCCTCCTGTCTCTGCTTCCTAAGTGATAAGATTACATGTGCATACCACCACACCTTGTTTATTCAGTGCTAGGAAACAAGCATTATTCTTGAGAGGAAAATGCAATGTGCAGCAGGGCTGAAAAGTAGTGTTCTGAGTTTCCACTAAACCGTGTTTTTCCACCTTGCTTACAGAGCCATCCCAGGGGAGTGTGTCACATACTCAGCTGGAACCTAGACAGAGCTCGGTGCTCACACATTTCCCTTTCTGGGCCTACAGACTATTTAAAAAAAAAAAAAAAAAAAAAAAAGGAAATGAGTTCTTCTGGTCACACCCTCTTAGTGGGTTCACTTCTCCTAGCCAATATGACTTCTCGTTCCTGGGGAAGATTCAGTAGAAGAACCCAATCTAGTGTCTACACGCTTGTCTTCCCTTCAGCCCACGCCTTGTCAACTCTCTGCACCGCAGCTCAGCTGTGCTTACCTGTTTGGTGAATGGGTAGCAGCTGAAGGGAATGCAACCTGATGTTATCAGACAAGACACAGAATGAGATATCTGGAGCAAAGCGTCTGTGGGGTTAAGAAGACAAAGAGAAGAGATCTAAAATTCCTTGTACTTTAAGCAGGAATTTTTGAAACTATTAAATGAAAATATTAAATGCTGGTGGATAGAAAGGTGCTCTCCTACCTATAAAGGAGATGCTGAACATGCGAATATTTTACGTTCTCATCTGCTAATCCTGTGGACTCCAGTTTAACAGATATTCCAGACTGTTCAGACTTTTCACCAAGAAGTTCCATGGGTTTTAGGCAGATAACAAAATCCTCTGACTCAAGCTGTGAAGTTTCATTACTGAGGTCTTAAAAATTAAAATTTAAGAATTTAACAACTGTAAGTGCTACCATCTGCCAGGATAAGCATTAGACATGGTATATAGTTATGTTTCTACTGCTGTGATAAAACATCATGACCAAAAGCAACTTGGAGAGGAAAGGGTCTATTTCATTTACAGTTCTCAGATCACACTCCATCACTGGGGGAGTCAGGATAGAAACTCAGTGAGGGAGCTGACTCAGAGGTTATGGAGTGGCTGCTTACTGCGTGTCCCCATGCCTTACTCAGCCTGCTTTCTCATACACCCCAGGATACCTGCTCATGGGAAGCACTACCCTTTGTGGGCTGGGCCCTCTCACATCAATAATTAACTAAGAAAATGCCCCACTGGTTTGCAGACAGGTCAGTCTTATAGAAGCATTATTTTAATTAAGGTTCATTCTTCTTAAAAAAAAAAAAACAAAAAACTATAGTTTGTATCAAGTTCAAAAAATGGGGCAGGGGCAATCAGGACAGAGTTATCAAATGTTATTAGATATCGAATGTGAGAGCAAAGATTAGAAACTCATGTAGGCCAGGCACCGCAACTCATAACTATAATGCCTACACTCAGGGGCCTGAGACAGGACGATCCCAAGTTTGAGCCAAGCCTGAATCGAGTGAGTTCTAGGGCAGCTGGGGAGGCCCTGTCTCAACAAAAGAACACCAACTGTTTTCTCTTTAGAAACCCTCATCTAACCACGAACGGACTGGACCTAGGCTCACCTGGGTCCACCTATGTACCCAATGGGCAGCTTGGCCTTCATGTGCATGCCCTAGTACAGGGAGCAGGGGCTGTCTCTGACAAGGGTTCTGTTTCATGCTTTTTGCTCACTTCCCCCTGGCGGGCTGTCTTGCCAAGCCACTGTGGAAGAGGATGCGCTTCAGTCCTGATGAGACCTGATGTGTGGGGATGGGCTGGGGGGCTCCCCCTTTTCTGAGGGGTAAGGGAGGGAGCGTGGGACCAGGAGGGGACGAGGGAGGGGGCTACAATTGGGAAGTAAAGTGAATAAACAAATTAAAAAAAAAAGAAACCCCTCATCTAATAGCAGTTGCTCCATTACTCACATACTCAAAAATTCAGGCAGAAACGTATTTACACAGTGCAGAATAAGCTCTGGATAGTCATAAACTAAAACCAATGCGACAGGAACACCTAAACCTGTAAGAATTATGGCATGCCACTATAGATACCAGGGTTCTTTAAAGACTACAAAAAAAAAAAAAAAAAAAAGATGATTTCTCTACAGTTAAAAGTAGAAAGTCAAATTCATAACTTACCTTCTGTCTGTTTGGATGGGTTGCTGGTTTCTTGTGGGTGGTGGTTAACTCTCTCTTCATTTATAGGGTCTGACTCCAGTTTTAGAATTAAGACTTCTAAGTCCGACATGACAGCAACATACCCAACACAAAAAGAAATCTCAACAGGAGTGATATTATCTATGTGTATAATTAATGAATATTCAAAGTCCAACACTGAGAACTCATTAATGACCACATACTTCAAAGTAAACAAGACTAACTTATTTGTACATCCAACAAGTAGATCTCCTTTCACAGGACAACATGAAATGCACAAAGGCGCCTCAGACATTGGCATTTCAATTATAGACATCTGGTCTCTAAGGCTTTCACAGAGAGATGCCTCCACATTGTGCCCAACCATTCGAATGCACACACGGGAGTTTTCAGTCCTCTTGCTCCTCCAATTCACGTAAGTGCGCAGGAATACAGCTTTGTTTTTCTCTTCAATTGCTACCAAATAGTCTCCTAAAAAGGAAGGAAGACTGAGTTTGGAATTTGGAATGAGAAACTCAACCACTTACTTTTCAACACATGGATCACTGAATCAGAGAAGGAACAAAGATGAGCTCCCAGTGACTGAATCTGAGGTGTCTTTTAAGTTACATCAGCCATGGAGGTTCTGAAGTACAGTCTCTTCGCTTCTTAGTGTCTTTTAACAACTTAGGGTTTCTCTGTGTAGCTTGGCTGTCCTGGACTCACTTTGTAGACCAGACTGGCCTCAAACTTTGTAGACCAGTCTGCCTGCCTCCGCCTCCAAGTACTGAGATTAAAGGCATGCACCACTACAACTCATTTCTTTGTAAACCTCATGTTTTAAACATTTATTTATTATTTTACACAGTATTCTGCCTGCATGTGCCCCTGTAAGCCAGAAGAGGGTGCCAATCTCACTATAGATGGTTGTGAGCCACCATTTGGGTGCTGGGAATTGAACTCAGGACCTCTGGAAGAGCAGCCAGTGCTCTGAACCTCTAAGCTATCTCTCTAGCCCCATTTCTTTGTTTTTACATTTTACTCTATTAAATCTTATCACAGTTGAAACTGTATAACTCTAGTTAAGCTCTACTGACTAAGTTGCAGCAATACTAGTATAACTTTAAAAATTCAGGTGAGACTTAAGAAACTCTGAATTTAGCAGAATTAATATTTGATATTTCGTTTCTGTCCTACAGAAATCACAATCCTCAAAAGTAGGATAAAGTCAGAAATAACCAAATAAAATATAAATCCAAGTTAATTTTTAACTGGTGATTATATGGAATTATTTTTAGCTGTAAAAGGAACATTTGTTACACCAAAATAGTTAAATACAAAATAAAAACATAATGATCTCCCCCTTCAGTCTGATCCTAAGGGCTAATGTTCACAGAGAAACTGGTGTGTGACCTTCAGAACACTTTCTCTCCTAGAAACATGGGTCACAGAAAGCTTCTTGTCTTTTTTAAGTACCACATTAAATCTATGTAACGATTTGCAATTTTTAAATTCATGCTTAACTCAATAATCACATTTTATTGTAACGGTGTGCTATAACTATACTAACTGTTATTATGCTTGTTTTATGAATTAACAACCTCAAGCATACAGGTTAGCGGCCTCCTTGTGGGGGAGGAAATCTAAGTAACTACACAGCATAGACAGAAACCACAGTTATTTAAACAATGAATAAATCTTTTCTTCCAGACTGATAGATGGCTACCCACCATCCCTGTTAACATATGTAAGATAACTTACATAAATATGCCATAGATATTTATTAATTCCCCCATCAGTGTAGGTATGAGGGGACAGGGAGATGAGTAGTGTTGGAGGGCATGGTGTGGGGCTCACACACACAAAAAATCAATAAAAAGGTAAAGGGGAAAATATTTCCTTATTAGTATATGCCAAATAATTGATATATACTAATGCAGGGAATTACCACCATATTTTATTCTGTAACATATAAGCATATGCTTATATAATTACTTGGAGATTTGTTTTATATTGGGAAACAGACCAAGCGCATTTTAAACTCACTACATAGCCCAGGAATTCCTCAAGCTTGCTGAGATCCTCCTGCCCTGGCCTCTTGAGTGCCCGAAATTATGCCATCATTCCCATCTACTCTATGATACTTTTAAAATAACAACTTCACTCTATAGGTTAGGGGCATGTCACCATGACTTTAATGTCGTGGATGTTTGGGTTATGATATGTAAACACGCTTTTGTTAAAATTTCATTGAGGATTTTAGTTTGTCCACACCTGTTAAGTGTCTCATGCAGAATGTGGCCTTTGCCAGGTGGAATTAGCTGAATTCTGAGGACTCTGAGGTGTATAAATATGACAGCCCAGAGGAAAAAGGCGTGGCTGCTTGGAGGAGGACTGCTTGCTGCTGGTTCGTCCTGCTGCTGTGTTTGCTGTTTGCTGAATTGCTGGTTACCTGGACTTCTGGATTTCTGGACAACTCATATTCTAGTCTTTTGCCACATATGCAAAAGACTACTGGGGATGAAATCCAGTGCCTTGTGCATGCTAGGCAAGTGCTCTACCACTTGGCTATACCCCAGGTCCATTTGCTCATTAGAAAATAAATCAATGTGCTTTTCTATCATTAAGTCAGTTTATTATATATTTTGGACACCAGTCCTTTACCAAATACATGATTTACAAATACTTTCCAAATCCTCCAGACAGCTCCTTGCATCTATTGGTAGAACACATGCATAAAAATCTGTAATTTTGAGGATGTCCAATTCATCTACTATTTTTGTGTTGCCTATATTTTTTTTGTGTCATATTGAAGGCAGTAAATTATATTTAAAACTAAGGATATTTGTTTACTTACAATAATCTTAATCATATATCTCTGACTGTATTCTATAAATACGTACAATGTCCACATATGAAACAATGTGTCTACAAGTTGTAATACCCATATCATATTGAGTATTGACTTCGGACGAATGCCTGGTTCTGTAGCTGTAGCAGCACTTGCTACGCATGCCTACTTAACAAGGCCCTGAAGCCCAGCTTTAACATTCTCCATAAATCCTTGCAAGAACCCTTCAAGACAAAAATCTTTCTTCCTATTTTATAGTTCAGACTCTGAGGCTCAAATTATTAATAGCCACTTGCCTAAGGCAACACCCTCAACAAATGATGGAACTTAAACTTTGGAATGTAGCTAGCCCAAAGCCTTAATGTTCATTCTGCAGACTGTAGGAAAGGGAAGAAAATTCTATAAGTTCCATATAACATTTAAAGGGAGGACATACTTTATATACCCTGATGATGTTAAAGATTCAAAACTTATCTTCTAAGCTTTTCCCCTTAATGCTCTCGTAATGAATGATTTGGTATTTCAACTAAGAGCACACCTCTGGTTGCTTCTTGTGAGAACATTTCCAACAATGACTAGATCATGAGTTCTGACCTAACGAATGCATTAATCCACTGATAAGTTACAATTTTAGAGGCTTTAGTGTGTCGAAAGAACTCTAGAGGGGAGTCTGGCTAGAGGGAAGGGGACACTCTCACTGTTGGAGAGGGGACATCTGGGAACTCTTATCTTGTGCTAGTCCCTTCCTATTACTGTTCACTTTACTTTCTGGTCACCATGATGTGAGCCTTCCCGGCCATGGTTGACTGAAACTTCTCAAACTATGAGCAACACACATATATACTCTCTCAGGTTGTTTATGGCAGAAATTTGGCCACAGGGACCCCAAGGCTGACTTGCTTATTTCCCACATTTTACAAAAGCAGAAGAGCATTTGGCTGATTAGTAAATGTATATACGAGGGTTCTGGCACCAGATGTACACTAGGGGGAGGGGCATAAAGTAAAACTGCCAATGTGATCACTCTTATGATGTAGTTAAGGGGAAGGTTCTATTTGAAAAGATGAGAGAGGAGAGAGCCAGAAGGTCTGGAAGAATCCAGAGCAGAGAGAGAAAGTAGTAAACTGAACATGGGCAGCTGACTGGACATGGCCAGGGCTACGTGCAAGAGACAGAACAGTAGGGGATAGAAAACAGAGAACACAGTAAGAATAGCTGGGTTATAAGAAGGGTGAGTAACTGTGGGGAGGGAGGCCCACAACTGGAAGGAGTAGAGGGTAGAGAAGAAGGTGAGAAGCATAGACTAACATGGACTTTGAAGTAGGTAACAGGTACTTGTGAGTCGGCCCTAGACCTTGATACGCTGATAGGCACACAAGTATATATTAATTGGAGAGCCATAGATCCCTTTTGCTAGAGATAAGAAAGATAAGTCCTTTGGGCAGACACAAACTGGCTTCACATGTTCGTGAAGAATGCTATATATAGCTCATCCTCCTATAGTCCCAGATGAGCTCATTTTTGGATATCTGGACCATCTTTTGGAGTTTGGGAACTGAGGTTTCCTTTGGACCTGACAGAAAAAGAAAATGCTTTTCGCCTGGCTAGAAGACCTACAAAACATTCATAGTTAATATAAATGCACAGATTATCCTGGTTCTTGACAAAGGTAGATTTGCTACAGCAGACGACACTGGGCACTGAGAACAGAAACCCCAGATCCACCTATTGAGAATGTAAAAAAGAGGCCAAAGGAGAAATCACAGACAGGTTTTTCTGGACACAGGCACAGCCAGGGGTCAGCTTATTAATGTTTAGTCATGCACGGTTAATAGAAGTTAAACTCAGAAGTTGAAGTTCAACTGTGGACTGAAATCTACCTTGGAGTTATGTGTCCCATGATGGGATTGCCACCCCACATGAGTCCTGAAGTGCTTTAAGGCAGCCAACTTGATTATAAAAGGAGCTTTGTTCTTCACTGTTTCATTAATGAGGTTATCACAGTTTAGTGCTAGCCTGCAGTTAAGTCATCAGTACGCAACCCAGGCCAAGCATTTGCTATACTCCAGGGAAACCTAACACTGTGTTTCTGAAGGTGTGGCCCAGGATTTTTTTTTTTTTTTTCCAATGCTTTTTAAATGATTCCTAGGCACAGGTAGTAGCCATTGCTAGGACCCTAGGAATCAACACAAACGTCAGGCAAAAAACAAAACAAAACAAAAAAAAAAAACACCCTGTAAAATGCCTGCTCCCTCAAATTTCAGAATAAATGTCTCTTTGAAAGAGTGTGACAAATCGTGTAAATATACTGCTTATGTCTTTGTCTTGTACATACTCGCACTCACAATGTATTTAAGACTTTTTAAAAGTCAGACCATAACGTGAGGGTTTTAAAGCACCCACAAGTGGTGGTGACTTAGGCCGTAAAAGGGCTAGCTATGACTTGATATCATTTAAGATCGAGCATCTTGTGAACTTCAGGATATCATTCTCCCTCCTCTTTTGCATGAGGTTTGAGATTTCTTACATTAATTTTTTTGAAGAATCTGGAATAAATGAAACCCAGCCACACGCCTATAATTCAAGATTTGGAGGGGATCAGTCTTTGTTCCCTCCCCATGTGGGGTGTCTGTTTTGACTTCTAGACAAGACACTGAATAACAGAGGGTGACCTTCAATTTCTAACCTCCAGCGTCTACCTCCCAAGTGCTGGAGGACCAGACCTTCCAAGTACCATCTCAGTGCAGATGATCAGACCCAAGGCTGCAGGCAAAATAAGCAAGCACCCTACCAAGGCACTACAGCTTATCTGTAGTTGCTATGACAACCGCACAAAGCGCCTTTAGCACTTAACAGCCCCATAGGCGCAGACCGCCAAGCAAGTAAGTCAGGAGAACCCCGCCCCAAAGCCGCTCCTCACCGGCTTCGCTGTAGGCCATGCGCAGCACCCTGCCCAGAGTGGAGAAGGCGCAGCGATGCCGGCACAGCTCTGCGCCCTGGACGGCGAACGCCTCCACCTTGCAGCCCGAAGCCACGAACAGTGCGTCGCACCCGCCGCAGCAGAACTGCTCGGGCTCCCACTGGCAGGGGACCACCTGCTGCGACCCAAACGGGTGCAGGTTGTAGAGACGCACCATCCCGGCGCCGGGACCAAGAAGAGCGGCTTCCGCGAGTTGGCGAGCCGCTCCGGGTCACGTGAGCGCTGCGACCCCGCCCTAGTACCGCTCCTTAAGGAGGCCTTTAATGACATGCACTGTAGCAGGCTGCAGAGAACTTGGGTTCTTCCCTTGAGACTTAACTGCTTCCGGTCTGACTGGTATGTCGACCCTTAAACGTGTTTAACACTCGGTCATCTGCTGTTTTTGTGCCTTGGTCGTCTTCAGGGCGCCTTAGTCATTCATGTCTTCCTGTAGCCTTTGAGCTCCTGAACGATGAAGCTGCAAAACCTGAAGTGGCATATACCGTCCAACTTGGAGGTAAACACACCAGAGTTGTTTTGAAATACTGTGGATACTACAGCGTTTTTATTGGAAAGGGCAAATCCTTGAAGACCCGTAGCAACAAGATAATGTATTGAATGAGAGAATCTGTGAAAACATTTCGCAGGTATTTGGCAAGAGATTCCTTTAAACCCTAGATAATAGGGCTAATGGTCAATCTATTGTTCTTATGCATATCCTGTTTAGTAGAAACTTGCTGTCAAAACTCCTGTTTTGGGAGATGTAATAAACCCGATATAATATTTAACAATTCTAATATATATTTGTATGCATGCACACATCCATGTATTGGTTGACTGTGGAAAGGAATGCTCCTCTTTTGACACTGGGACAAAACTGGAAAGAGCAAACGTCAGTTCCCATGTAATGTGAATGTAGTTTGACTTTCGTGAGGTTCACTCAGTCCTAGAATTGCACTACCTTTCTATCGATAGCCTCCTTTCCCTCGGTCTCATCGCTACACCCAATTCACCTAAGAGCCTTTGGGAAGAGAGACTTTATTTTTAATAGCCACTTTTCTGACTGCCGTGACCATCAGCTGAAAAATGGAAATGTTTGTTCTAGGTCGGTGTTTAGGAGGTAGGGTCCATCATGGAGGAAACTACTTCTTTCTGGCTGATGAGAAAGCAGAGAGAGGACAATGGCTTTCTCCTTTTGTCCCTTTAATCCAGGATCTCACAACATCGAATGTATCTTCCCTCTCCCATTAACCTGTTCTGGAAATGCCCCCACAAACACATTCAGAAATGTGCCACCTAGGTGATACTAAATCTAGTAAAGTTGATTAAAAAAAAAAATTACTCATTGCATGAAGGCAACATGGAGCATATGCTGAATTTCCTTGTTTGTGAGGATCTGCACGTAGAAGACGTTCACTTGTCTCCTGTTATAAAAGCAGGGACCAGGGTGCCAGACCATCACTTCCTAACGGGAGAGGCCATTTGTTCTTTAGGGCTACCATGACAAATACAATGTACTGGTTGGCTTCAGCAACAGATTTCTTAATTTTGTTTCTCAGCTCTTGAGCCTGGAAATCTGATGTCAAGGTGTGAGCCAGCCTGGTTTCTTGAGGCCTCTTGCCTTGGCTTGCAGATGGTCACCTTTTCACTGTCTTCACAGGGTTTTTCCTCTGTATGTTTCATTCTGGTGAATGGTGTCTCTTCCACTTCATCTAAAGATGCCAGCTCTACTAAGGCCTGCCCATATGACCTGTCTTAAACTCAATTACCCCATAAGGTGTTGTCTGCATTATACTCACATTCTGAGGAACTGGGGTTTAGGGCTTCAATAGAAATTTAAAATAGATCCATGAATCGCTGAAGAAAGACCCCAGACTAAGATGGTATGCAAGAACAATGGGTGTTTATTCTGCAGAGAATTCCAGTATGCTGGAATTCTGTGTGAAGGGTTCACCACCTTCACACAGAACGTATGTCACAGAAGCAGGCTCACAGGCCGTTTATAGACAGTCAGGGGAATTCCAGGAATGATTAGGTGATCTTTACTTTGATTGTTGGGAAGCTAGCCAAGGGGTACAGGGTCAATCAGGATTGGTCAGGAGCTTAAGGACTTTACAAATCAACTATTAAGTAACTATCTCTAACCCAAGTCAGGTGTGGGGGGTGGGGAGCAATGCTTATTGGCTGCCTGTCATATGCTCTTAGAAACTGAAATAGAAACTCAAGCCTAGTCAGGTAAAGATGAAATTCAAGCCTGTCATGAAGTCAGACTGGAATTGAGCCTTCTTATGCTAACACACTTAAACTCAAGAGTGCAAACATTCTGGCTCTAAGTAAGAATGTGTATTGTTTTTAATATCTTTGTTTGAGAAGCCTTTTGGAAGGCAAGCACTCCCTTTGTGGATAATTTTTATTTTAATCAGTTGTGTTAAAGGTTTCGACCCTGTATTAGTTACTTACTAGTGCTGTGATTAAAACAAGCACTAACAGAAGAAGAAAAAGGAAGAAAGGTAGCTTGTAATTCAAGAGCGAGAATATCTCATTATGGTGGAGAAGACGTAGCAAGAGGCAGTCATGGCAACAGGAGCAGGAAACTAGGTTATTACATTTCATCCACACAGGGGCACTGGAAGTGGGGCCAACTGGGATGACATTTTGGAACATATGCATCTAAGTGGGGGAATTTTCTATAGCAATCATAACAGACTTATGAGGGAGTGGTTTCATCTTGATCTTGTTTTATCACATGATAGCCCAGGCTAGCCTGAAAATTACTGTACTCTCCCTGCCTCAGTTTCCCGAGTAATCAGATCACAGGTACCACCCACCTGTCTTCATATTCTCTTATTTTTTCTCCTCAAAATTCCATGATGGGATTTTGTCTGGGATGAATTTGTTGCAGTTACGTTTTTGTTCCACTGCTGTGAGAAGACATCATGACATAGGGAACTTATAAGAGGAATAATTGAGTGGGGGCTTGTTTAAGCTTGCTCACAGTTTGAGAGGGTTAGTCCAGTATCAGCATAGCGGTAAGCATGGTGGCAGGCAAGAATGGTGCTAGAAAGAGCTGAGAGTTCAAACGTGTTCTGAAAGATACAGGAGGAGAGAGTGAGACTGGCGCTGGCACGGGCTTTTGAAATGTTAAAGCTCCTAATGGTGCATCTCTTCCAATAAGGCCAAACCTCCTCCAGCAAGGTCATGCCTCTTAATCCTTCTCAAACAGTTCCACTAACTGGTGACTGAGAATTCTAATATATTATCCTATGGGGGCCATTTTCATTCAAACAACCGCATCAGGTCCTGTGTGTATTGACAGAGTCGCTGTGAATTCATATGTGCAATAGTCCTGTTGTTGCCTACAAAATGCTGTTTCCTGCTTCTGGCTCTACAGTTTTTTTGATACCTCTTCTGCATAGGTCCCTGAGCCTTGCGGGAAAGAGTTTGATAAAGACATCCCATTTAGGATGGAGTGACCCAAAGCCTCTCACTCTCTGCACATTGTCCAGTTGTGCAGCTTTGTGTTAGTTTCCATCTACTCTAAGAGGAGGCTTTTATAATGGGAATTGAGCAATGCGTCGATCTAGGGTAGACATCAGTAGACTGAAAGAAGAGACTGAGATGACTGCTCAGATGTCTTCCATTTCTGAAGCTACTTGGCAGTTCTTTGATACTGCTCTATATACATTGACCTGCTAAGGGAAATAAGGAAGGTCGTCCAATTCTAACAAATATTGTTAGACAATAATGACCTCTGCTGCTTAGATAAGACCCTACACTAAGAATCAAATATTTTGGTGCAGGACTCTTATCAGAGAAAATAAATACCAGTGAACGCTCTGCTCAACTAGACATGCCTCCTTCACACACACATATTATCTAGAGTGGAAAACTGAGACTTGGAGTATCAACTACCTAGGTCCAAAGAATCAATCATAACTGAAGAACCTGAGTGGCCCACTTACCCCCACTTTCTATCTAGGGCATTCCTACCCGAAACGGCCTATCTTCTCAAGTATGAGTGACACCTGCGCCCGCCAATAGCTTCTTGTTTCTTTTTCTGGCTCACAAGTGTGAAACTTATTCCTGAATGCCACACACAAGCAGGTACCTTACCTGAGCCAGAGACGTTGGAGCCATCGACACCTTTGGGCTCCAGGATTTGACTTCCCTTGTTGGGTAGAAAGTAAAGTTGAACTGTTAGTTTGGGCAGTTTGATAGATTCTATCACCATTTTACAAACCAAGGGATGGTGCAAAAGAAAGGTAGTTACCTAGATCATCTATCTTGACATACCTCGCCACTATGTCCTGAATTCAAGAGACTTCATGTCAAGTAGTAAAACCGAGGCCCAAGTGTTGTACTAAATAAATAAATAAATAAATGTTGCACTATATGATGTTTATTATTACCCTTAAGATTATCAAGGGGTTATTGTTTAACCTGGTACTACAAATAGTAAGACTCAGACACCTGTTAGATTTTTGCCTTATTTACCTTGGGCCAGACAGATATTTCATCTACACTGGCTCAGTAACCTCACAATCCATCTCCCAGTTCTTATCCAATGCCATCGACCTTAATCTTCCTCATCTGGTCTACCTTCCATCCATAATCCATGGTACTTGCTTGTATTCTTCATCTGGACCTTTTCATGCTATTATTGAAGTCCTTCCTCTCAGCCCATGTGGGTTTTTTTCTCCACACTAACCCATCATGGCATTCTCCTTCCTCCTTTTTTCCGATGTGACCTGAATTGTCCTATCCTTGGCAAGTTTGAAAACCTAAGCCATGCCTACGGTATTCTGCCCTGCCCAAGTATAGGCCCTTTAATCAACCAATCAGGTATGTTTTAGGCTTACAAAACAAACATAGTTGTAACCAGATCTTAAGGGCCAGTAACACCCATCAGACCAACCTCTGACATCCAAGTATAACATTAATTGTCCAGGTATGTCTGGTTGGCCTATAACTCCAAAACTGAACTAGTGTTTTAACATTCTCAAAATCAAGTTAATAATGAACGATGCCAGAGGCCAAATTAAAAGTTTGGGACTATGGATTAGGAAAGAAGGCAGGGTACCTCAGTGGGAGGGTAAAGAAGAAAGGCCTAGGGCATTTGTGCTGGGACAGATCAGGGAATCCTTGCACCTTAGCAGGTAGAGTAGAGTCTTTGTAGTA